GTTCATGTTCGCTTTGAGAACTGAAGAGTGTGAGGTGTTTTTGCTACATGACCCTTGAGGTGACTAATGAGCAAGGGCAATAAAATGTATCTGTCCTTTTACCCCACCCCTCTCCAGAGGACCACTTTGAGAACAACAGCGACCGCTTGAGATGCCCGCTGCCATATGGATTCCAATGCATGGGGACCCAAGCTACGTAGGTCAGAGGACAACTGCTCACCAGGGTTTCTGAGCCTGTAAATCCTTTCAGGAAGAGTGAGCCTCATTTTGCTCCTGCAGAACATCGGGTGGATTGGAACTCTTGACATTGTAGCCCAGTGAGTCACCCATCATGCCATGAGAGTTCACCGTGACTCAAGCGCATCTTGAAAGTCTGGCCTGCGCCCCATCGGAGAGCATCTGTGGCCTCCCGGGGGTGGTATCTTATCCATTCCCTCAGGGTGCTTGTTCTTAGCCATCACTCATGCTGTAGCCTCACATTGCATGAGGGGGTACCATGTGTCCAATAGATGAATTAATCTATGTGTACCCTACTGGCAGGAGTCCCGGTGGTATAGTGGTTATGAGTTGGGCTGTGATCCACACGGTCGGCAGTTTGAAACCACCAGCAGCTCCACAGAATTAAGACTGGGCTTTCTATTCACATAAAGAGTTACAGTCTTGGAAACAGGGGATCGCTGAGTCAGCATCGACTCCATGGCGTGGGTTTTTGACACCCTACTGGGCTGTAAATTCACCTCGGGTATTCTATGGATAAAGAGACCGGACACTCAGGCTGTTCCTACCAAGCACTGTGAACAAGTCAGGCTTCCTGGCACCCAAGCCCGTTTGACCTGGGTCTAAGTCATGGGCATTGGCTTGTTCCTTTGTCTTCTCTGGTTTCTTCCCCATGAACCCCACAGGTCACAACTGGCATCTTTCTCATGCAGAACAGCTTCAAGACAGAGAGGAAGCTACACTTGGAAAGAAGATTGCTTTGTCCTTTATTTACAACAGAATGTAAGAAAAAGTAAGGTATTATCAACAATAAATAACTTGGGGGGTGGGGAGGGCACAAAAACCAGCCATAAAGTGACACAGAATGATGGCGGATTTGAGGATCAAGTTTTGTTTGCTCTGCTTTGTCGTCGATAACACTGTGCATTCCAAAACACGGTCCTTCAGCAGTGGCAGTGGTATATTGACTAATTTAACCAATCAAGATCTCAGCTTGACATGTAAACACTTAAAAAAATTGACACTTGAAGCGACATACAACTGGCATAAGTGTAACACGAATGCAAAGAACTTCTAGGCGATAGAAAAAATGGAGACTTGCCATCAATCGAACAGACATGCTTTCAATTTAAAGCAAAAACAAAACAAAAGAAAAACAAAAACACATCGAGAGACTTATCCTACAGCGTTGGTAACATAACAACAAAAGGCTATTTAATCATGGCGTCTAAAAAGTTCTGGACATGTTCACATTCGCTTATGGCACTAATTCCTAAAAGAGCTGAAACACGTATTGTAAATGCAAACAGGCTGTTTGGAAGGGAGCGCACAGAAGGGTCCACGCTGCCTCAGCATGCCAGTGCTGCGTTAGCGGGTAGCGTTTGAATAGCTCTGAGTTGTTCATGTCATGATCAAATTGCAGTCACTGGACAATCTTTTAAAACTTTTTAAAATTTAACCTTCCATAGCGCTGTCTCGTTTGGCAGATTGTCACCTAGCCAACTGAGTCCGAAGACTCAGAAAGAAGGGGAACTATTTAGACAACTCCTTTCTGCGGAATTCTCTGAATTCTCTGGAATTCTCTGCCCTTCTCTAAAGCTAAATTCCTGTTGACCTAACCGCAGCCGGCCTGTGACCCATCACCTCGTATTTTCTCCAAACCAGGAGCAGGTGCTGAGGAAAGTGGAGTTTAACAATGTAGAGAAACACATGAGCCCTCAACGTTCACAGAGACACCATTTCTCAGGAGTGTCAGAACAGACTCTCTTGGGTCCTTGTTTATTTACAATCGAAAGAAAACCAGGCAATCATACCCTTTGGGGGCATTGTTTTCTAAAGATCCGATGGTACACCCACACCGTGGCTACTGAAGGGATGCCTCTCCACAACCCCAAAACATGGCTAGTAAAAGTTCCACATCAAATAAAATCATTTCCCCGCCCCGCACAGATGCAAAATTGTAACTCAAGTCTATGAATTCGTTCACGACTGAAACTACCACTGTTCCTGTTACAACCGTGGTCACAGCCTCCTCCTGCTGTTCCTTTGCTTTGAAAACGAAAGGGTCTTCTAGCTGCTGCCTGACCAAGTGTATGGCAGAGAGGCATCCCAGGAAATAAGAGTCAGCGCAACACCATTCGTACTTACAGCCCACGGGAAGCAGAGTCATTTTGTATTGGAAATCCATCCTAGGTTGGATGCAATTGATGGCCAAGGAATGGTCTCCACTAACATCAGCGATGAAGATGGGATGAACACGTGTGCTACTCTACAGCTCATCTATCCTAGCGTGGCTATCAGAGACGTGAAATCAAGGGTGTCTGATGCCCTATATTATATTTATATATATATGTATATATATATATATACACACACAGGTATAATACAATTTTGGTGAACAAAGTTGTAGATTTCCACATTGCAGACAGAGGCACGGAGTTAAGGATTCTATTTCCCCTCAAACATGCTTAGAGAATTCAAGTTTCTGTCATTTCTTCTTCTTCTAAATTCCTATCATGCAGCCATTTGATGCCCATCCTTAGAATTACTAATGTTCTATATACATGTTCATCGGAGGCCTGTACCCCACAATGACAAATTCATGGATGGAGCATGTGAAATGATACTTAGAAACCAAGCTACAGGAAATATTGAAGTCACGTGTGCCTTGTAATGACTGGATTAGAGAGTCAAAGCAACTGAAGGAACATGTGCATCCCCCTCCCTCATTTGCTAATGTGTACAAGCCACATGTGGACAGAAAGGCTGAACAGACTTGGGCACGTCTGCTGGCGAAGAACCACATTATGGTGGGGTAGCTTTGCAATGGCTGGCTGTGGCATTCTACCGGCTCAAAAAGAAACTCAGCTTACACAGAGGAAACCACAGGCTAAAGCCTATGGAATGCTGGCCTTTGAGAGCAGGAGGGACTTAATTTTTAAAAACAAGGTAGGTGGGAGCGCATTGGCGATCTTGGAAAAACTCGGAGCCAGAGGTGTCCACAAACAACACAAAATATGTGTGTTCTACATGGAGCAGAGTGGTCCCACCCCATCCATGTCAGCTTGCACATACACGATCCAAGTGTCTTTGGCAAGTAGACTTTTGTTTTCGGAAACTACCTGCTGAAAGCAAACATTCTCATGTAGTATGACTAGAGTGTGGAGAGGAGCCAATTAGAACTCCAAGGGGTTTGATGAAATATTACGTTTTCCCACAAGCAAAAATCATGCTACCAGACCATGCAGAGGAGGTGTGGCACTAGTATGCGATCATTCTTAGGAAAGAGATGAACTGTTGACCTATGCTTTTTTCAACTGGTTATTTCCTTGAGTTCTGGGTCTATTCTTTATCCCCCCCCCCCCCACCTTTTTGTTTAAATCAAAATGCCAACCGATCACTAGGGAAATGATCTTGACAGTCTGACCTGTGACTTGGAACACTGTGATGCTGGGCTTGTGGGTCCAGCACCCGCACCTTGGGAAAGGGCACCAACCAGAAAGACGCAGCAGGTTGTAGTCTGGGCACTGAGAGAAGCAGGCAGGGGCCTTGGCTGAGAGGCTGGAAGCAGGAGGGCAAAGTTCCTCGGCCTATTTTGTTTCCCTTGGGATCTGTGTTTGGGGAAGGTCCCTTTCCTGAGGTGGGCAGTGACAGTCAGGAAGGCTAGCTGGGCCCCAGGCCTGGAGCTGCTCACCAACCTGGTTCCCTTCCTCTCTGCTGACAGTCTACCTGCCACCCTCCTGCAGCTGAAGGCGTGAAGGTGAAGCTGACCGACTTTCCTCTTTAGACAGGAGGAGCAGTCTCTCTGTCACGTTGGGAGCTGCTCTTAACTCCAGTCAACTTCCACTCCAATCCTAGGTCACCACCACAGGCCCCCAAAGCTAGAGGCCCCCAAAGTCCTGTCGCCTTTTCAGTCAGCAAATGATTCTGCTCACTCTCCCCTCCCCGTCTACAGCCTCTCCTCAGTTCCTGTGACGTCATTGCGTGTTTGCATTTCGAGTCAGGAGTAAGAGAAGGAGAGTCAGTTCTAAGGTCCGGTCGGTGATGGCTAATCCATCCCAGGGAAGTAAGGATGATACTAAGAGTAAAAACAGAAGAGCAGGCGGGGTGCTGGGAGAGTGCTCTTCTTTTAAGGGTTCGCTTACCAGACCTCCCGACAGGGTTCAGGCCCAGTTAGCTGACTCTACCCTCGAACAATGGGCAAGAAGCCCAATGAAGTCTACTGAGTTGGTTGCAAATTAGGAGACTATTAACGGGTTGATGGAAATTGATGAGTCAAGGGATGTTGGTACCTGTAGAGAATTAAAAGATGCTTGCCTCACCTGGGCCTCTTGCGTCCTAAAAGCAAACCCTTCCCAAATCAGTCAGCTCTGGCCATTCACCCATGCAGTTTATAAAGGTTCCTGAGGCCACGAGGGCACAGAGGGGAGACTTATTAAAAGACAGAAACGAGTGGAATCTTTATTAAATTCTGCGAAAGGTATAAATTGGCTATGGATAATTGCACTTGGAGCCTCTATAGGTTGCTAATTAAAATTTCCAAAAATTTGAAGGGTTAATTAGGCCCCAAATCCTGAGTCAGACTAACCCAAAGAGGAATCTCAGTAAGTATTGGTATTCAAGTATAGGCCACCAGCAGCTCAAAATCTAACAATTAGGTTTGCTATGCCTGAGAGTATTTTTGGAGAATTTTAGGTTTGATGGGAGGAAAATGACTTCCCCTATTTCACCATGTCTTTTTGTCACAAAGAGGTGTCAAGTTATGACTGGTTCCCCCACCCCCCGCCCCTCGGAAGTCCAAACGCCCCTTAGCGAGACTTCCTCCCTGGTCTGTCCTTTGCAAAATCTGCGGTCTTGACATCTATCCAGCCCTCACCTTTTGTTATATGTGAAATGACTTAACCACACGCGCACACACACACACCCCCGAGATGGAGGAATACGCTTGGGTGACAAAGCCGTCTGTCTTTCTGGAGCCCGGATGATCCTTCAAACAAAGCGTAGCCTAAAACCCCCCCAAAGGAAAAGATAAAGGCCCCAGGGCGCACCCCTATCACGAGTTACTCTGACTTGGGCCTGCACGGCTTCTCTGCAGAGTGCCCGCCGGGTAATCTCAGGGGGGCTTTCTTCTCGGGGTCTGGAAGCGTGAGAGTTTCTGGGGCGGACTTTTTCCGGGGCCGGTCTTTGGGGACGGACAGAAATTCTGGGGCGTCGGTGGAGAGAGGTGTGGACGGAGCGCTGGAGGGGGCGCTGCGGACGGAGGAGGGCAGCAAGGAGATGCTGGAGATAGAAATCGCAGGTGGGAAAACGCCGATTTTCTGGTTGGTGGCTTCCTGAGTGGCTCGTTCGAATTCGCGCACTTCATCCATCGTCATGTCTTTAGAAGAAGGGGGAGAGAAAGAAGAGAAGTGAGCAGTTCTTTACAAGATGGCAATGGATTCGTCGCGGTCGCGGTGGCCCCCTCCTCCTCCTCTTTCAAGGACACATAGGCAGTCTCTCTTAAAGGGGCCCATGCAGATTATTATCCCAAATGCTCATTTTATGCAAAATCGATTTTCCCCACTCCCTTCTTTTAGTCGAGGCGCCCCCCCCACCCCCCTACAAAAAACAACCCCGAAGTTCTTTGGGAATATCTCCCCAAGACTTTACAAAACACTTTGAATGAGTCAGCAAGTATTTAAAACTAGGGTTTAACAGGAGAGGGCAGAACTATCCCAGAGAGGGTGTGCACGTAAGTACTGATGTTTGGGGGATAAAGGGTAGAAGGAAATGAGGATCAGGCCTGGCCATCTCGTGCATACAGATCAGACAATTACTAAAGCACTCACTGGTGCTGAAAGGACACATTACTCTCTACCTTTGATCAAGTGCAAGTACCAGAATACCTTTGTAGGGTAAACAGGCAAATCATGTGAATTCTCAACAGCCGATTTCCTAATTCAATACATATGAAAAACCAAACTGGGTGCCATCAAGTCGGTTCCCACTCATAGTGACCCTATAGGACAGGGTAGAGCTGTCTCTACGGGTTTCTGGGACTGTCCCTCTTCCTGGGAGTAGAAAGCCTCATTTTTCACCCTCAGAGCAGCTGGCGGTTTTGAATCGCAGATCTTCTGGGTGGCAGTGTAACCACTTTAGCACCAGGGCTCCAGATTCAGGAAATATGCTTGGTGCATTTTGGGGAGGGAACAAAGATGCCGTGGTGGTGATTGCTCTGAGGATTGTGCCTGTGTCCTGACTGGCATGCTTTGTTTTTAATTGATTCAGCTTCAAAAAAGAAAAGAAAAGAAGAAGATAACTCCAAAGAACCCTGTTCGTGATCACACAGCCAAGAAAGCAAAACCACTCCTTAAAGAAACCTAAAAGCCAAAGAATGAAGAATGAAAGAGAAGATTGGTTTTAAGAAAGCATTACTTAGAATTCAACCAATACAAACAACAGTGTCTCATCCAACAGGTACTGCGAAATAAGGCTAATATCCCAAATACCTGAAGCGTTCTTTTAAGAGAGACAGTGGGGAAAAAAGAACCTAAGTCTTTCTCTACTGTACCCAATGTGCCAGGGTAAGTAAAAAAAGTATTGGGACATGGATTCTGGTTCATACAGGCATGGGTTAATTCTAAATCAAGCACACTTGAGCATGTCTTTGTGGTCAGGGGATGGAAGCAGACGAGTTCTCTCAGTAATACTCTTGTCTTAGTGCCTTAAAAAGAAATCAAACTCAGTCAAAACAGTGGCTTCTGATAGGATTTACTGATCCAGTTAAACTCAAAGCAGAGAGAGGCGAGCTCCAAAGGTTATGGTGTTGGGGTTTTTAGGACTGTAAAGAAGTCATCTTGATAGATTTTTTTCTGATGGGTTCAGGATGACCATTGGGGAAATGATTTTAAGAGAATTGAAAACTGCTTTGGTGGGAAATAGGCCAGGACAATCATGCGGAGGAATTTCCCCCATCATGACAGTGCAGCGATTAGTTCATTCATCAAGGGACAGCACGGGAATTTCATTGGGAAACTCACTCCCTCTACTCTGCAGCCCTGATCCTAGCCCCCCAGACTTCTTGCTTCCCAAACACACACACACACACACACACTTCAAAGGAGCATGACCCGAGTCACTCAGCGATGCTCAAACTGCCCCTGTGATGTGGTGTCAGTCACTCGCTGCCATCAAGTCGAGGGCAGAACTGCCCTTGTGGGTTTCTGAAGCTGCACCTCTTTCACAAGAGTAGAACGCCTCATCTTTCCCAGGGAGCAGCTGGTGGTTTCAAACTTCTGACCTGTGGCTAGCAGCCCAAGCATAACCACGATGCCACCAGGGCTCCTATGGTGTAACTCACAGGGCAGAATTCTTTGGGGAGCATTGTTCAGATGTGTAAAGACCCTAGATGGAGGACATAGCTTCACATAGAAACAACAGCTTCACGTCCTCATGATCTTGTTTAATAAAGGTTTCTAGGAGTTCATGACAATACTTTAAAAAAACATCCTCATATATACACTTCCTACCTTTTAGTCAGAATATACTGAAAAGACTATCGCTGCGCTAGCTAATACAGCAATGGCTTCCTCTTCCTTCCTCGGAAAAGGGCTTGCTTTCTTCTCGTAGTTTGATGTCTCTTTTCTCATTCAGGAACTCCGCTATTAGTAATATTATTATTGTTGTTACTGTTATTTACTAAAACAACAACAACTTAATGTGGCTAACCCTGGTGTCCTTTGCTGGTTTCATTTGCTAGAACCAAGGAAACAAATAACTGGGCTCCATTAGAAGGAGCAGTGGGAAGTGGGGGAGGTGGGATGGAGGGGTGCGGCTATCAAGGGGTCAAGAAGAAAGAGAATGTTTTGAAACTGATTGTGGTAACAAGTGTATAATACTGCTTGGTGCGACTGAACGATGGATCTCTGTAAGAGCTCCCAATAAAATGATTTAAAAAAAGAATGAGCAGTGAATAGAGGCCCAAGGGGCTCACCCTTGACCGAGAGGCAAAATCCACTGTCCAAGAATTTTTGCTTCTTAGAGGCCTGTTCTTCCTTTGCCACCTGTTCCTGGCCATGTGCTTCATAGGTGAAGCTTCATTACATGAGATGGCACACGTAAACTAGCACGAAACCGTCCCGCCACTTTGGCAATATTAATTACGGAATTAATATTCATAACACAGCATTACTCGTCCGGTCTCATACTGTATTCATCAGCAGGCCAGAAAGATACTTCCTAAAACAAGATCCTCAGGAGGATTTCCTGGGAACCAATGATGAGAAATTTCCCGCGGGGGCATAGTTTTCACAAAGACAAGTCAAAATAGAAGGGCTGCCATGGAATGGTAGATGCAAAATGTACCAACAAAAACGGAGCCAAAGTTCTTAATTACGAAAAGGTGCAGAAGAGGGTATTGAAACTTAAAAATAAAGCGGGTACTCCGGGAAACATTTCAAAGGCTCCTTTGGGTCGGATGGAAAACTTGTCGGAAAGGAGCGCCTGACGTCTGCTCTACTGCAGCCATCCAGCTGGGGGCAGAGACGACCTGAAATCCTGTCCCCTAGCCGCTTCCCTCGGGAATGCCGGCTGCGTCTGGCAGCGGTGGTTATGGATGTCCACACCGCGTCCTCCAGTGCGCCCTGCCCAGTTCCGAGTTCACGGGCTGCGTGCAACAGGGCCAGGGAAGTGCCTTGTCCGTTCAGAACTTCTGACGTCACGGGGCGCAGCGGGAGCCCCGGCCAGAGCATCCCCGGTCTGCGCCTGTGGACACCCACTTCCGGTTTCGATGGCGCACCGGGAATCGCCGGGAACCAGCGGGAAAACCGAACCGGAAAGCCGTGAGCGTGCAGACCTGAAGCGGGGGACCTTGGAGCAGAACAGGGTTGTGCTTCTCAGCTGGCTCACCGGTGCTGTGAGCTGCTTCCAGAGCAGCGGTTCTCAACCTGGGGGTCGCGACCCCTTTGGGGGATGGAACGACCCTTTCACAGGGCTCGCCCTATTCATCGCAGTAGCAAAATGACAGTGATGAAGTAGCAACGAAAAGAATGTGATGGTTGGGGGGTCAGCACGTGAGGAACTGTATGTATGAAAAGGGGGCAGAGGCAGGTTGAGAAGTGTGGTTCCAGACAGGGCGGCTAAGGGGAGAACAAGCATTCCTAAAGACAAGGGTCCTCTGGCTCTAGAACAGGGGGAGAGGGAGGAGGAAGTCTGACTGATTGGAGGGAGGACCCCATGGGTCTGTGCATAGGGAGCTCCCCCCACCCCCATCAGCACATGCAGTTATGGGAGGTTTACCCTCAAGGGCTGTCGCATGCACATGCATCCGATGCAGCCCACAAGCTTGCAAGGCGCAGCCCACATTCCAAAGACAGGCTCTAAAACCCCAAAGGCACAGTCCCAAAGGGCACCCCAATAGCCTTCCCGGATTCTAAAGCATCTAGCAGCCTCCACGATCTCTCCATTTCTCATCATGACAGGATCAGCCTTGGCTAATGGACAAGAGGGTTGAACCCAGCACCTACAGAGATCCCAGCTCTGGCTGAAGACAAATAACAATGATTTGGGGATGACATTTTTCTTCATTCACTGCAGCTCCTGTTCACGTCACTAGCGTGGGTGATCGAGAGACAACTAGATCGAAGGCACTGGCGTCCACTGTACTGTTGGCTCTCAAGGTCCAACGTGTGACTAAGTAGTCTTGAGGTTCCCTGAGGTTCATCTAAGCTCCAGGCTAGGGCCCCCTTGGCAGCTCAGTACCAGGTTTGCTCCCCACCCAGCTCTGCCAGCAAGTATGACGGCAGCTGACCAAAGAGAAATGGGATCGGTGTGGGTGGGCCACCGACTCAGAGTCATAGGAAGCCTTTCAACGCAAATGCAAAGACACCTACATTCAGCAGATAGGCCAGGCCTGGCCTGCCCTCGGATAACCGAATGAGCTCCGTTTTCCAAAGTGACTGACAACTCGTCGCAGTCCACGCAGGATACCCAGGGGCTCTTTTGTGGCACGGGCCCTTTCCTAGGCACCACACATCATTTCTACTCTCTATGTTCTCGGTTTGATGGCTGAAATGACCTCCAAGCCAAGAGGCTTTCAAAGAATGGGAATGTTTGGAAGGGGGAGGTGACACCGCCTCATTCCGACCCAGCTCGGCACCTTCACCAGCAGCCTCGGGGGAGAAGACCCGGGTGGAAGGTTCTCGACGGGGCATCTGCAGACTTTCAAAGATCTCGCGGCGTGTGTGTTTGGGGGAGGGGCTGGGCAACATGTTTCAAAAGGTCTACATACACTTGCTTTGGCATGGCTCTCTATGTCATCCACAGTGGAGGAATGCTGATTGCAAACTTTTATGTTGGTTTGTTCATGCATGTTTTTCTCGTACTCTCGAACATCATCCA